GAGGATAGGTGTCTTGAGGAAGAAGTAGAAGCCTACGCCAAAGCCGAAGAGAACACCTTCGCGGTCGCGGAACCAGGTTTTCTTTTGCTCTTTTGTGAAATGTACGCGGGAGAAGTAGGGCTCGAGCTGTAGAGTGGTTGTTAGCTGGTTTAGATTCAGATGGTATAATAAAATCAAGCCCGACATACCAGTTCTCGCATCAGACTTCTCGAGGCGAAGTAGCTTTGCAAGAAGTGTACCAGATATCTCTTGGGTAGGAATATGGAACTACCGAAGATGATTATGGCAGGCTGTGGTCCGACAGCCTTGTTAAAGGTATAGAAAGATGCTGCTGGCAGGACGAAGCGGCCGACATATGGTATATACGAGGCAAAGTAGACACCAAGGGAGATGGCGGCCCGGCGACCATAGCGTATCAGAAACTTGTAACCAGCTTCTCTTGGTGTCTTTTGCACAGCTGTGTCACCGTGTGTAGAATATTTGAGCAGGTTTGGGTAATACATGTCGCGCAGCGTGTTGGGGTCCTCGGTTTTGTGCTTCTGGACATATGTCTCATCGACCCATCTCAGAGATTCCATAAACCTGGTTGACTGTCATTAAGCAGCTTCCAATGGCTTTCCAAAGAGACTGACATGTTGTCCAGCGAAGGACTGATGTATCTGAAGAAACTCATCAGAAAGAAAGGTATCTGAAGCACAGAGTGCTCGATGAATTCGATTCCCTCAAGAATATCATTGTCCCAGCCGCTGCTCGTGAGGTCTGTGAAAAGTCCAATGAAGCCAATCAATATCCGTACTCCCAGTGTCTTGTTTTCTAATTAGAAATCGTTTCTGCATTTCGATGCTCTGGAAAATGCGTACAGGAATGGCGATGAGGATGCGAATGGCGATACCAGCAGCTACAGCTAGCGCAGCTTGTCGGTAGTGCTCATTGGTGAATAATCGAGGGTTCTGCAAAGCACGATATGCTGCACATTGTTAGCATACCGCTGCACACGACATGATGGTAGGGGGTACACTCACCACCGACCACTGTCAGTTGCGCTCCACGCAGGATGGCGTTGGCATCGAAATTCGACATGCTTGACGGTGATGCTCAGGTTCGACAAGCTGACATGAATATCTTTAGTCCAGCTTGAAAGAGTCGTGAATCGCCGCGTGTTCCTGAGGCTCCCGTCGTTTGCAATGACGGTGATGACGTCGGCTGCATGAGGCTGAAGTTGACTTTTGGTTTAATCAGGCAAGGCGACCCTGTCCAAATCATTAAACACCACACTGCTTCTCCAAGTTATGTACTCATGCTCCCTTTCGTGATAGCAAGCAAAAACCGCGAGATCATGGATAGTTGTATTCAAGTGTATCATCTGTGTCTACTAAAGATATAAACATTGGTCAAGTACTCGTTCGTTTCCATGTCAGGCGTCCTGCTTTTCCCGTGCTGCAGCCATGTTTGCACTCGTATGAGAAACATGTACCGAGGAGTATGGCTCGTCTCAGTGGCGCCACCCTCTGCGCACCACTCCTCAGCTCTCGCTATCCCGGCACTCCCGCTTCCTCTACAATCTACAACTATCCTTCCACCAACACAAAGACGAAAATGCTCCATGTAACCCCGCTCCTCGTCCTCCTCATAACGACCATCCCCTTCAGCAACCCGACCTTAACCTCAAACTTCCTCTCCCCCTCCCTCTGCAAAAACCAAGCAGATTATATCTCAATCCACCAAACCCTAAACACATACCCCCTCTCGATCGACACCAAAAACTTCGCCCTGCTAGCCTCAGTCTTCACTGACGACGCAGTAGCAAACTACAACACAGGTGTGGGCAACCTGACCGGACTAGCTCAGATACAGAATAGTCTAGCCGCCAGGTGAGTTGTGCGAACACAGAGATCCGGCCCAGATCCCACAAAGAAACCGGATAGGACGGACAGGAGGCTGATGGATGGTGGTTCCATACAACAGTCTGGCACCGGTGACAACTCAACATGCATTGACGACTCAACTCATTTCTTTCAAGAGTGATACTGTGGCCAATGCGACCACTTATTATACTGCTTCGCATTTCGGACAGGGAGAGGCCGAGGGTCAGGTACTGTATGCGTATGGGAAATATCTGGATACTTTGATCAAGGTCAGCAATGCTTCTTCGAGCGGAAAAGATGCAGTTTGGAGGATTAGCACAAGGGAGCTGGTGTACATGGGACCCTTTATCGGGAACGCCTCTGTCTTCGAGTCTTGACGTATCGACTGAGCAATATGGAGAAGAAATGACAAGCATGAGTTCCTAAGAAATTCGTTTCATTCGGCGACGATAGGCTTGAAAATCTAACTACCGCCCACATTCGTTTGGCCAGCACAGCAACAAAGAGCCAACTGAAAGAAAAACTCCGTAACTCATCTTGAATATGCTCCGTTGCTCGCCTGTTGATAATGCCAAGTTTTCGTGCCTTGCGATTGATGGGGTCATGCGGGTCGAGGTTGTATCTACACGTCCTTGGTGTGGGCCTTCTCGGCGGCAGTACCGGCAAGCATGCTCTTGGCGTCCCTAATACCAGCGAGGTTACCCTCCTGGACTCTCTTCAGGGTAAGAGCAGCAATCAGAGCAGCACCGACACCAGAGCCATCCTCGGCAGCGGTAATCTCAACGGGGTCGTTCTCCTTCCTGCTCTTCTTCTCGGGCCAGTCAAGAATCTCGCGCAGAGCCTGTGCGCCTCGGACCTTGAAGTGTGGGTATTTGTTAAATACCGAGCCGTCAGCACCGACGTGAGCAGTGGTGTAGTTCTTCTTCTTGCAGATGGCAGCGACACCGCATGCCGAGAGACGGGCGGCACGAGTGCCGATGAGTTCGGCGAGGCGACGGATAAGCTCGAGCTCGGGCATTGTGCACTGGAGGCCGAGAGTATCCTTCATAAGGTTCTCGGTCTCGGACAGGTTCTCGAAGGGATCCTCCTCAATGGCAGAGAGGAAGGAGGCGTCAAGGCTATAGGGCTTCTTGAGCTTGGCGTACTCTTGGCCCTCGAACATGTGCTTCTGCTCGGCCATGTCGAGGAGGACGAGACGGAAGATCTCACCGAGGTAAAGACCGGCAATCATCTTCTCAAAGGCCTGTTGGCCAGGTCTTGGAGACTCATTGTCGACGGTCAGATCGTACTTGGTAAGAGGGAGGACCTTGTGCTCGTTGTCAAAGGCACCCCATTCACAGTTGATGGCCATTGGGGTGTCGTCAGGAAGCTTCATGTGGTCGAGCTTGGGAATGCTCCCAACATTCTCCATGTAAGCGGCGTTGCAGCCAGTTCCGAAAATACATCCTATCTTCATCTCGGTATCCGTGTAAGCAGAGGCGATCAGAGTTCCGGTGGTGTCGTTGATCAGAGCAGTCAGCTTGATTGGGACACCCCTCTCGGCAAGGGCAGCCTCGAATGGAGGAACGACGTCCTTGCCTTCAACACCATCAATGTCGAAGCCCTTGGTCCAGCGTTGAAGGACACCGTGGTCAATGTAATCCTGACTTGCTGGGTAAGAGAAGGTGAAACCGAGGGGAAGCTTGTCCAGTTTCTCGCCCTCGTGGTGGTATTCAATGAATTGCTGCAAGCAGTCGGCAACGTAGCCCCAAAGCTCTTCAGCGGTACCGGTCTTGAGCTCTTCAGGCATGCGGTACTTGGATTGGATAATGTCGAATTCGCCCTTGGCCTCTGGAAGGTGGATCTCACAGACACGGAGGTTGGTACCTCCCATGTCGAGAGCGAGGTAGGTACCAGTCTCGTGGCCGGTAGGGAAGCTCATGCACCAGGTAGGATTCATAGGCTGGAGAAAGTGTCAACAAAAGCTGCTTCTCTCACGGGGCATGGGAAGCTTACAATGCTACCACCCTCCTTTGTGAGACCCTTGGTCAGCTCAGTGACAAAGTGGTCGGTGATTTGCTTGAGCTTCTCTTGCGGGATGATGAAGGACTTCTCAAGCTTCTTGATTTGTTCGAGGAGATCCTTTGGCACATCGGCCATGGAGCCTATGCCGAGTCAATTTCGTCGCCTCATTGTGGCCCGCGAACATATGTCGACTTACCCTTTCTCGAGGGCTGCCTGCGGGGTCCCAATCCAACCATTTTGACCGAGCTTCTATATCTTTGATTTGGTCGGTTGTTGCGCGATTCGGTTCGCGACTCAGGAGAAAGATATGGAGATGTAAGAGGGCGGGGACGAGGGTATCTATGGAGATGACGGACAGATCAGCATACGAATTACTCTGAATATCGGACAAGATGGTATTGAGTGCAAGGAAGCAGTGGACGTTATTCGTGTAGCCACTAGGTCCGGAAGAGCAACCACATCACGCCGGGAGGCTCGTGTACAGCAGTCGATCACCAGAGTTGATAGAGCCCCGGAAACATCGGCTCAGCTTGTGTCGCTGTGACGGGCACAAGACAACAGTTGTCAGCCTCGTAGTGGTGACACGAGTCAGAAAGCAGTGCGCCGTCATTGTGTCAAGTGTCGAAAGAGCGAGGGTGCACAATGGAAGTTGTGCTCTCAACCAGGCTGAAAGTACCCCGCCATGCTGTTCCGATGGCATGTTCAATCTTTGTGAAGCAATTGCAGACAATGGATGAAGTGTACAAACAGCAAAGACATAGCAGTGAAATCAGACTTACCAGTCGTCCAGTAGAGGGGAATAGGCAGTGAGAGAGAAGTTGATGGATGTTGAGTTTTCAAATGTACCTGACACACCCCGAGCTCAGTTTCTAAAGTTGACGGTCGCCAGCCCACCGATGATCGTAACCTAGTCGGACCGAGCGTTCAACGTCACTAATGGGGCCCGACCAGAAAAACATCGTGACTCTCAGAGAGGTTCGAGATTGCCATATCCACCCTATTTGACTAACGTCAGGAACCTTAAGGTAGAAGCTTCAGAATGCTAGGTGGATCGAAGATCAATCAAAGAGCATATGATGTATGGGATGTATACCCAATGAGACACATGTTGGAAGCAAAATCAAAAGAGGTAGCTGCTACGCCGGGTCGAACGACGGACCTTAGGATGACTGCAAGTTTAACTGCAATCCCACGCTCTACCACTGAGCTACAGCAGCAACTACGATGCAAGTACATTTCTGTCTAGAAATATATATTCCGTAAAAATAATCCGCAGCATTCCGTGGATCCGCACGTGGCTGTGCCACCATTGGCAGCTTCGATACGTCATGCTTGGCTCCCATCACGGCACCACGCGTGCCTGCATCACCTGATGAGCTCCAGCTCGATCCTTCCAGCTTCTTCCCATATACCTTACACAACTCCATCACATATATCAACCCACCTAAATCGCCATATCAGCGATTTCAGATCGAAAACACTTAATCACTCCACAATCGTAAGTCGACCAATGGCACCATGTCACCAAGGCATTGCTGATTGAAGACGCAGACAATGTCTGCCCCTATGAGATTCGTCCGCGCTGCGCGCCCTCTCACCAAGACCACACAAACCGCTCGCTTCTCGGCGGTCGCACGCCGTGCTGCAGGTGGTGATGCCGGTGCCCCTCGCTCCGGTGGTTCCGCTCAGGGCGATGCCTTCACCAAGCGCGAGGAGGCATCCGAGAACTACTACGTCAGGCAACACGAGAAGGAGAAGATCGAAGCTCTGAGGGCCAAGATCAGGCAGGGCGAGGCCGACCTTAAGAAGGACAACGAGGCTCTCAATGCTCTCAACAAGGAGAAGAAGTAAATGTGTTATTAAGCAACAAGGATGATTATGGAGCCAGTGGAGCCAGTGGACAGGTGATGGAAATTTATTCACAGTCAAACGCCATCACAGTTACAAATGTCGCAAAAAGCCGGCAATGGATATCAGAGGAGAGCATGAGATCTCTCACGGTAGTCTTGCAGGAAGGAGTCTGCAAATGTGTATAGTTACGGGAATGCTTTATGCTCACATCTATTATTCAAGGACCCAACCCAACCCTCATACCGTGATGTTACTCCGGACTATCTCTGATGATGATACAACCACTTCTAAGGTACTGCCATTGTCCATCACATTTTGGATGACTTCACAGCTCATTGAATCTGATGGGGCTTTGGAGCCATGTTGACAGACATTACAAAGCTTACGCACAGACCACAGCCTTCGGACACTTGCACCATCCATCCTTTTCAACAAACACAGAAACCGCCACTCGACGCGCGCACTTCCTCGAGACCGAGAACCAAATCATGCCGTTGATGGAAAGCAAACCGCCTCTAGAGGCCATATTTAAGAGGCTCGAAGGGTCGTGGAAGATGCACAGAAGATTGACAAGTGAACTTCCAGCCTTTCCATCCGGAACTTTCACCGGTACAGCCACCTTCACACCAAATACGGCCTTCAACAACTCGTCTTACTTATACCACGAGACTGGCGAGCTGATCACGGATACTGGCTACACACTGCGAGCCAATAGAAAATACATATACCGCTTCAGCCCGGACGACGAAAAGATCTCTGCTTGGTTCGTCAAGGAACCCGCCGTCGAGGGTGAAGAAGAGGTTGACTATCCCTTTCATGAGCTGGAATTCGATGTGCTAGACAACAGGTGGATTGCCAAGGGCGATCATTTGTGTAACACGGACATGTACTGGGCATTCTATGACTTCAGAATGACCGACCAAGGTGCTTTGAACAAGTGGGGGTCACGGTACAAGGTCAAGGGTCCGCAAAAGGACTACCTCAGTGATACCGCCTATGAGCGATGAACAGCGCTGCCTTCCGTCACTTGCTTCCGTCTTTTGATTCCGTCCATTTGATTCCCTCCACTGGCTTCCGTGCACTCAACTCCGTTACTGGGTCCGAGGCGTGCTTGATATGATACGAGTCACGTCGCACATTGTACCACCTGACATACTTGTTTGGTCCTTCCATTTCCAATACAAATTTGCCCTCTTTGCATGCCGCATCATGTAATACCGCTCTCTCTCTCTGGACCATCACCCACGAACATGGCTTCTTCATTCGAACGTGCCGTTCACAACTTGAACACTTATGACGGCGGCCGAGGCATCCACCGACTCCTGGGCCATCTTGATAACCATCATGATACTTTGAGTCTGAGAGCGACGTCTCGAACCTTCAAGAACCTACGCCGTATAGGCATCAAGGCCTTTGAGACAATCTACGTACATGCTCCAGCACAAGAAGGACAATATCTCGGAGCCCTTGCAATCATAGCCCCGTTATGCAGATCTCTCGTCGTAAAGATTGCCTACCCGCTAGTCGACAAGCCTGATACCTGGTACTCCGAGAATGCTACCATCACGCGCGCAGAAAGACGTCGAGCGCTCAGAGAGGCTCTTGAATCTCGTCACAGGCGCATTGCCCGTGTTGAAGATGATCATGTCCACGAAAGGCGCCATAAGCACCCTTGCACTGCCTGCAGTACAAGTACCTTCGATATTGCTGCTCCGCTCCCTGAACCCAAGACACCAAAGCAGAAAACGTCGGGCCCAGTAGCTTGGAAGTACGTTGTTCAGCGCCGCCCCACCGAGCTGAACAAAAAGCTACTGCATCTATGGTACATCCTTCTTGAACGCTTTCTCAACATCACCGTCTTTACTATTGCTTGTAATGGCGATCCAGCATGGCCCGGCTGCACGGATATTGAAATGTGTTTGATTAATCTACGCATCTGCATCGAGAGGTTGAATTTCAAGTACCTTCGAACCATCACCCTAAACCCCATCCACGCCATGGGCATCATGCATCTCAGATGGGCTGGGCTGGGTGCTTATGGAGAAGCCCCTTCGACTGTGCATCCTGCTTTCAGGCGGCGATTGGAACCTGGAGGTCTCGTATGGCAGAGACTGGAATGCTTGCAACTACAAATCAGAAATCCATATCTAGAAGGAAGACTTGCCAAGACACAGATCGAGGTGTTTGACAAAGTTCTTGCCGACTATTTGAGGAGCTTCAAGAAGACTCTCAAGGTCCTCAAGCTGGAATGGATCGATGGCGGCAATGGGCCAGATGCACTCCCTTCGGTGGATCGAGACTCTGGATACGGTGATGGTACACAGTCATGGGCCAACCTTGAGGAACTGTGGCTAGCAAACATGACTGTAGATCAGATCTTCTTGGCTAAACTCGAAATTACAGCGCCAGTTTTGCAAAAAGTCATGGTTCTCGGACCACAGTCCGATGGAGCCGGTGGTGAGATGCGGGGAAGTTTAGGAGCAAGCGGCCTGGTGTGGAGAGATGCTCTGCAGACTCGAGCAGTCAGCCGAGCCGAGAGTGAGGCCCCCAGCGATACCAGCAGATCTATACAGATCATGCTTGACCTGTAGCTTTTCATGCCATGACATTGGTAGTCTGATCAATACCAATCAGCTTGCCTCTGGAACTTTCTCATGAAACTTACGTGCCACAACAAACCATCGATCGGTGTCACACTTGTCCTTCCTGACACCTTAAATAGCACTGGCTGCCATATACGGTTTAGAGTATCGGAGATTTATCCAAGCCTCCCTGCACTAGTCCGACGCTTCGTCACCTATTACACCTCGTTAAGCTTCCGAATATCCGCTTCGACTCTCCAGACCTATCGTTTCTCCCTTCTGCTTGCTCTTCGGCATTTCAATATTCGTGTACGGGTTGCATCATGCACTATTAGAGTAGGGGTCAGACAATCATAGTCCGGAGCGTCTGACCCGCCTTGACACGCACAAGTCCGACATATAGAGTACAGTAAGCCCGGGAGAGAGTGTCCTAGTAATCTTTTCCTTACCAAGCCTTTCTCTTCCCGGTTCATCTTTTTGCTTTGAGAAAAACATTTCTGGGCGACCTTTGGAAAGATCCTTGAAGCTTATAGCCGTGTAATTGTATACCTGACTTGTATACCCGGACAATAAGAACAAGAAACAAAAACACCAACATGGCTGCACCCGGTGGTAAGTATTTCATTCAGGATAAGCTGTACACAGTGGCGCCGCATCATGAGAGCTTCAAGCAGCTTTGGGAGACCAAATGGAAGAAACCTGTATGTACATCTCTTGTCTAGTAACTACACACGATTCGTTTTCTTGGCCTGCTAACTCGAATGCTAGTGCGAAATGGGCGTATACCCCTTCATGTTCGGATCAATCAAGGACTTCCAGCCTATAGTCGACAAGCTCATCGAAGGAGACTTCAAGGAACCATATGACTGGGACAGCTATGCTCAAGTCTATTTCCCCAAAGCCGAGGAGCTTGTCGCAGAGGCCGAAAGGGCCGAGGAGGAAGGCCACAAGGAAAAGGCTTCGGAATTATATTTGTGAGTTTTTCGACACCTCGAGAAGAAGAAAGTGACCAGTGCAATTGTCTAATCAATTCGTAAAATAGACGAGCATCAGCCGTCTACCGCATCTCACGTTTTCCAGCGCCACGTTCGGAAAAACAACGCTACGCGTGGCAAGAAGGCAAAAAAGCCTGCATCAAAGGTCTAGGGTGAGCATCTCCTTACCCAATCCCACAACCCCAAAGAACAAGCCACTGAACAAACCCCCCACCCAAAAGCCTCCGTGAACACCAAGTCCAAGAGATAAACGTGCCACACACCCACGGCCTCCCAACAGAAGGAAAACAAATCCCCATCTACCACCTCCTACCAGCCGCCGCCTCTTCCTCTCACCCAGCGCCCCTAGTCCTAATAATAACAGGCCTAGACGGCTACCGCACCGAACTAGCCGTGTGGATGGAAGGCTGGCGCCACAAAAACGTCGCCTCCATCGTCGTAGAAATCCCCGGCACGGGGGACTCCCCCGCCACCGCCACGGACCCGACATCCCCAGACCGACAATGGAGTTCGCTGCTCGACTGGATAGCCACTCAACCAGCCATCGACAGCAACAAGATCTGCGTATGGGCCTACTCGACCGGCGGTTTCTACGCCATCAGGCTGGCGCACACGCACGCGCAGCGCGTCGCGGGCGTCGTGGCTCTGGGAGGAGGGACACATCACATGTTCGACGCCGAATGGCTGGATGCCTCGAACCACCTCGAATACCCCTTCGATCTGGGCAGGACGCTGGCCTACAAATTCGGGTACGGCGATGACTTTGAGCGCTTCAAGAAGGAAGGCCGG